CAGGGTTCTACCTTTCTTTAAAGAGTGGGTAGGATTATGGCCTTTTAAATTCATTTTTATTTGTCTTCTGGATGTGTTGCCTTATTCTTACCCCAGAAAGACGTGGGTTAGTCACTTCATTTCTTTTGTGATGTTCAGAAGTTTAGCAGTGAAAGTACTTTTAGATTTTGACTTTTGGGACATTACATTCAGTAAGAGACCGTCTCAAAGAATAAAGTGGGGCCTGGAGAAATGAGTCACAGTTAAGAATACCTGCTGTTCACCTGGATTCAGGTCTCTGTACCCACATAGTGGCTTACAACCATTTGTAACCCCAGTTCTAGGAGATGCAGTGATTTCTTCAGATGTCTGTGAGCACAAGTACCTGTGTGGTACACATAAGTCAAAACACACACACAATAAATTAAAAAGAACACGTGGAGGGCACATGGGTGCACATCCACATTCAACACACACACACACACACACACACACACACACACACACACACAAATTCTGGCATCTAGCCTTGACTACACATATAACTGTCTTAATTAATGTCTTATTGCCATGAAGAGACACTATTACTACAACAACTCTTACTAAAGAAACCATTCAGTTGGGGCTGGTTTACAGTTTAGAGGTTTAGTTCATTATCATCATGGAAGGGGAGGACGATGGCATGCAGGCAGACACTGCTGAGAGAGGTAGCTGAGAGTTCTACATCTAGATCCTTAGGCAGCAGGAAGAAACTGTCACACTAGGTTTGGCTTGAGCATCTGAGACCTCAAAGCCCACATGGTGGCTCACAGTCTGACTTGTTCTGCATCTCAGTGACATCTCATCTCACACCTAGATTCATCTCAAGTTTCCTCCCTCTTCCCGGAAGTCTCACCTATCTCTTCTGCCTAGCTATTAGCCATCTAGCTTTTTATTAAACCAATCACAGCAATGTATCTTCACATAGTGTACAGATATACACAACAGGGGCTGAAGAGGGCTCATCAGTTAAAAGCACTGACTGTTCTTCCAGAGGTCCTGGATTCAAATCCCAGCATCCATATCATAGTTCATAACCATCCGTTGTTCCAGAGGATCCACCACCCTTTTCTGACTTCTGTTGGCACTAGGCATACGTAGCATATACAGACATCCAAGCAGGCAAAATACCTATACTCTTAAAGTAAAAGTAATTAAATAGTATGCCTCATATACCTGCTGCAAGGTTGAACCGTCAGTTCATATATTTGTTAAAAGAATACCCAATAGAGTTTAGATGTGTCAAAAGTAAGAAATCATAAAGTAAGAAAAACTTCGATGGAGTCAGCCCTGCTTGATGTTTGTCTCTCCCATCTACTTTTAAGTCATTCACACTGTCTTCTTCCTCAGTCATTTTCGGATGTCCACATTTCCATAATGTGTGTTTGTATTTAAAAGTGTGATGTTCCCAATCAGTGCCTATTTTTTGTTTGCTTTCTTTCTTTCTTTCTTTCTTTTTTTTTTTTTCCTCTCATATAGTTCTCTTCATTTTCCTGGTATAGTTTTTGTATAGACATTTACTGAAGTCATACACATTTTATTATTGTACACATATATGTATTGTATGTATGTTCTGTGTTTAAATTTCATTTTAAGGCATTTATCTTGTTTTTTTGAAATTAATAGCAGTCTCCTTTTCCTGCTGTACTTTCAAAATGCTACTTATCTCTAGCTCCTCTGACAGCTCAATAACATATCCCTTGAAATAGCTAGTTTCATTTCCATGTCTTTTTCCTGTATTCATCCCCTCCTGAATCGCCAGCTCAGCTGCTATTTCAGTGGGTTTGTACAAAGGGGTGTGTAATAAGGGATTTGTCACAGGGATTTTGTGCTCTACTCACACAGGAGATGGTTCTCTGTAAGGTTGTTGTTTTCAGATGATACTATGGAAGTACACGGGGTTCCTGTAAGTTTAAAAGAAAAGACTGGTGTAAGGCACAATCTACAGAGTCTGCAGCCCAGGAACCTTAGCTAAAACTTCTGTACTAGCTCTCATAGCCTCCACCCTTGTGATGTGAGCATCCCTCAGAAGTAGCTGATGCCATTCCTCTCAGATGTCATGAGTTCAGACTTGAAGAGGCTGCAGGAGAAGAGATGATTGTAGGTGCTGCTGTCCTGATGAAACAGGTGTCCTCAAGAACCCACTGGGCCTGAGTATTAAAAAGACCACAGCCTCATTTCTACTGTCCACTACAGCCTCACCAGTACTCTCCACTTTCCCCCATTGCAGATGCTGGACTCAAACCACAGGATCCCCAGCATCTCCACACCATGCTGCACTCCTGGCTCCTTGCGGCAGTTATTTGTCTCCTCATTTGCTTATATAAAATGAAGTCTTCTTTTTGGCCCTAGCTGGTCTAGAACTCCTAAGCATGTCTAGTAGTTGTCACACCCAGTGTGCTTAGTAGATGGGACCATGGGCACAGACCACCACATATGGCTCGTTCCTTTTTGCATGAAAATATCTCTTGGATGCAGAGGGGGAAACCCTGAAAATAACTGTGGATTACCCCCATTAACACATGACAAGGCTACTACAGGTGGTCATGAGAATGATTCTCTCAGCACTGACCACAGGGAGTAACTGATCTGTAGGCAGCCCCAGCACTGCTGTCTAGACTCAGTTGCCATGTTTCTTCTGAGGGTAGAGCTCATATTTGGCTCCTAGCCAGTGACTGAGCATTACAGGGGTTCTAGAGGCAGCTTGTCTCTTGCCCAGTTTTTATTGTGATTGCACTGCAGCCTGCCTTCCCCTGGGGTCAGACCTGCATCATCCCCTGGCAGCTCTTCCTGCCTTTCTGGGCTCTCCTCATTTTCTCTCATAGATCTTTCTTACACTTTTCTTGGATTTAAATCCCAGTTTGTGTCTGCTTTTCAGGCGTGCATAGTTTATCTTCTTAGCTATTTTCCCTCCAATATCATCCTAGGGGTTTCTGTCACCTTCTTTTTGCAGATCTTTTATTTTTGGATCCCAGGTCCTCATCTTTCTTATTTGGCTTCCTTTCTGGGTGGAATTCATCCTCCACATGGGAGGTAAATTATTGAAACCCTGCATGACTGAAAACTTTATTTAATATCACCCTTGAGGGACGATTTGGCTGAATATGGAGTTTTAGCTTGGAAATGATTTTTTTCATTATTTAAATACATTCTCCATCGCCTCATAGTTTTCAGTGTAAATGTTGAGAAATGCAACACCACTTTTGATTTCTGATACCTTGCATGTGACCTGCTTTCTCTCTAGAAGCTCCTCCTCTTCTTCTTCTCATTCTCCTTCTCCTCCTCCTTCTCTTCCTCCTCCTCCTCCTTCACCTTCTCTTCCTTCTTTTGGTTTTTCAAGACGGGATTTCTCTGTAGCTTTGGAACCTGTCATGGAACTAGCTCTTGCAGACCAGGCTGGTCTCAAACTCACAGAGATTCTCCTGCCTCTGCCTCCCGAGTGCTAGGATTAAAGGTGTGCACCACCACCACCTGGCTTTCTCTAGAAGCTTTTATAATTTCTTAGTCTTTGATGCTTTAAGCTTTCATGGTGCTGTGCTTTGTCATTGTGTTGGTTCCCTATCAGTTTGGGGACATCTGTGTGTGGCATGCTCATGCACTTTGATACTTTGCTTTCTGTTTTCTATGATCCCAAGAAGTCAGACTGACAATACTTTGTGCATTGATTCCCATTCTTTTAAAATCTCCCTTTGTTTTCCAGGCAATTAATTTAACTTCTGTTTCTTAAAGAACATTTAATCTTGGTGCATAGTTTTAGATTTCTAGGGCTTCTTTCTGTTAGGTTTTTAAGATAACAACGTTCTGTTCTTGCTTCATGGCTATGTTGTGTCTCTTCTGAGTTGTCCTCTGAACCTTGGAGGGGATGAGATAGATGTCCCATTTATGGGTGATCACTTTATTTTCAGCATTTTGACCAGTTGTGAGTCTCTGAATTAACCATCACCCATTGCAATACTCTGACCAGGGCTGAGAGCAGCACTGATCTATGGATATAAACATTAGCTTTTAAATGAAAGCTTGATATCATGTCCTTTTAGCCAAACAACAGGAGTAGGTTTCCTATTAGGCTTATGACTTACCCGTCCATGGGCTTTTGACCAAGTTTATACTAATAGGCACATGTTTCCTCTTCTGTGCTGGGCCTTGAATCCACTCAGAAAGCAATTGGTTATCTGCTGGGCTTTGAATCCATTCAGAAAGCAATTGGTTATCTCTAGAGGTTTAATTCTTCTTCTTTTTAAAAGTTGGTGGCAGTGTGTATGTGTATGGGACACATAAACCTTAAGAAGAGGGAGTTTCCCTTGTTCTCTTTGAGGTCACATCAAGTACTTTGAAAGAAAAAGAAGTTTGAACCAGGCAGGAGCCCATAATCTTGATAATAATGAAATTTATATTATCTTAACTTAATAAACTTCTTACCAAAAAAGTAAAACAATTATATAGGAATGAAGTTTATGTCTCCTGGTTTTGAACTATAAAAGTGATAATTTCTTTTAAGAGTTTTATTTGGAACAGGATAAGGACAAAACAGCAAATTAAACAATGGCTTGAATTTCAGAGAGTCAGTTCAGGATTATGATAGCATCTCCACAATTTCTAAAATGGCCCTAAATATACTTATATAATTTTGTACTATGTATTTATGCAAAGTGGAAATTTCAGCATTCCTAACTCTACATCTTATACTCTCAAATACTACCATCTTTAATATATTGTGAATTATATGTATACCAAAGAATTATTTTAAAATCACTTTTTCTGATTTATCAATGTATGTTTGATTTCTATATCTGTTTTACCTATATGCTCAGGGTCACATAGAGGCTTACAGGTTTAAGAAGCCATGGGTTAAGCAAAGTAGTTAGTATTGAATTGTTATTCTCTCAGTGAGCAGAATTTTTAAGTATAATTTTAGAACACATTCATTGTAAACTTATTCATAGAGTGAAAACGTAATTGGATTTTTTTTTTTTTTTTGTCAGCAACTTGAATTGGTGGAACCAAGTGGCTGGATTCATGTTCCTTTAACTGACAATCATAAGAAACCAACTCGCACATTCATGATACAGATTGCTGTTCTAGCCAATCATCAAAATGGAAGAGACACCCACATGAGACAGATTAAAATATACACACCAGTGGAAGAGAGCTCTATTGGAAAATTCCCCAGATGCACGACCATCGATTTTATGATGTATCGTTCAATACGATGACTTGAAAATGTGGCAGAAGTGAAATAGACATTTGTTTTACCCTGTCATTGAATATTACGTCAAGTATCTTTAGTGGAAAAGCATGTTTTACAATTTTATATACATTTAAAACATTTTAATTTAGATAAATGTAATTTAGATAAATAACCTTTGGGTGATGCCTGTTTTCTTTATACAATAAAGCTCATATATTTTATATTGCTAAAAATGACTTTGAAGCTAATCTTTACATTTGTCTTTATATTAAAAGAAACTTGTTTAAACTGAAAATTTCAAGATGTACATTTTTTTTACTAGCGTGGTTATTTTATATAATAGTTGTTGGATATTTGCGAACAAGACTCTTTTCCAAGTATACCTGTGATAATTCTTAATAGCATGAGATTATTTTTTTTTGTAGACGAAATTCAATTTTTTAAATGTGTGATCCTTTTTAAACATATCAAAATAAACTGGCACTGCATATTTGTTATGAACTCGTCTGTAATCTAGCATTCTGGAGGCTGGGGCAGAAGGACTGTGAGTTCCAGTCTAGCTTGGCCTATACAATGAGAACCCTGTCTTAAAGAGACTTGGGGCTTTAGCTGGAGGAGAAGCCAGTCTGATTGATCTAGAGGATGTAATTGTCTTACTTTCTTTCTCCCACAACATATTTATAACCCCAGGGTTGTCTATACTCTTACAATATCATGTTAGAAATTGCCATTTAATTTGCAGTGTATCTCAGTCCATGTATATTACTTATATGAAATATTTTAATTTTAATTTCAATTTCTAACATTGTAACATTTTCACAGATAATTCCTATGAAAATTTAAAAAGAGCCTTTTCTTTTCCTCCTCTTCCTCCTCCACCTTCTCTTCCTACTCTTTTTTAAGAACATGGCTTATACAATGAATGTTGATTGGTTCATAACATTTTGTGCCCTGTGTCTGATTGGGATGGAGTCATTAGTCCCAGGACTTCCCCTAGATTCACTGGCTTTAGAAAGGTTGTTCATGCTTTGTTGGGTATATGTAAGTCGAAATCAAGAATCTTTAAAAATAATACTGTGTTTGCTTTGCTTTATTCTGGTATCAAGTACTGTTCACTTGGTTACTACTGAAAATATGATGATTTCACTTTCTTGAGTTTCAAAAAGATTTTTTTTTTGTTTGTATTATTCTCTTAGAAGTAGAAAGCAAGCTAGAGATCTAGTATAGGGTAGGTAAAATCTGTAGCCAAATTTAGTAGAGATGCAGGATGCTGGGTAAAGGGGATTGAAGGAAATCTATGGAAGACTGAAGGTGAAAAGAGGATCAAAGAAATTAGAATGGAAGTAGACAGTAGGCAAGGATGTTAACAGTTATATAAGCAGCAGGGATTAGTGCTAGGGAAGAAGTGCAACTTTAAGATCTACAAAAGGCTACATAGTAATAACGTCCCTGGTTACTGATTGCTTTTTAAAAGTTTGCTTAGAAGGATATGTACATTATCCCACTAGTAGTTTGCTAAAGCATTCCTAAATCGAGAGGAACTGAATGTCAAGAAAGCCCTGAAAGATGGGATAGTTGTGTGAAATGCAGTCCTCTGAACATGACATGGCTGACACTCTCACGAAATCACAGCAGCAGTGGCTGCCTGCACAAGACTTCGCCCACCAGCATTCCAGCACAAACTAGGAAGGGGTACAGAAGGCCCCATCACACCCAGAGAAGCTATAGACCAAGGAGGGTTGCAAAAGAAAGTACCCTCACCATGCTCATGCAGGCAACCCCCCCACCCCCGTGTGTGTGTGTGTGTGTGTGTGTGTGTGTGTGTGTGTGTGTTCTGGGATTAAGTACAGGGTCTTATATATGATAGGTACCCTCTATCTCTGAGTTATATCACCTAGTCTACACTTTTGTGATCTCATTACTTGGGAAGCTGAGGTGAGAATTAGGAGTTTCAGGTCCACTTTTGCTAAACAGACATTGTCCAAAATCAACAGCAAGAACTGTTAAGGCTGGAGATGTACCTCAGTGGTAGAACATTTGCCTGGCATGTACAGAGTTATACTAATATTTTCCCATGGGAAGGAAAGTGTGTGTTGTGAAGATGTGGGTGAACCTGCTCTTTGGAGCTTCATTTCTAATGCAGGCTCCTGGATCCTTTAAAATTCTTAGAACCAGAAGTGATGTGGAAGTTTGGACTTTGGGGAGTAATTGTGATATTATAGGATATTTGATATAAATGTGATAATCCACATACACATGAGACATTTAAGGGGTAGGAACCCAGCTTTTCCAACATAACATTTGTTTTGTGTATCCCTTGCACAGTGTTGTTAATGCAGTGTTTGTAATGTGCCTGCCACATGCATCAGGTGTGGAGTTGTTTACTGGTGTCATTCAGACCCAGAAAGCCCCAGATTGTTTTAGATTCAGATGTTGGGATTAGGGATACTCAATCTGTACTTCAAAGCCTCAGGACAGCCTACATCTGGATCAGTGGGAGGGTGTGCAAAAAAAAACAAAAAACAAACTGCAGTGTTATCAGTATGGTGAAATAACTCTTCAGTAGTAAAAATGAGCTTTGGATACTTTTAAAAGTAATTCTGCGAGGGAGAAGTTCAAGAGAGGGCACACATGATTCCATCTTTTAAAAATAGTAAGATCCCAGAAAACATGGCTAAGGTAGTAGAAAGTGCAGGTTGGGCTACTTCAGTGAAATTGGGAAATTCATCCTGATTGATAGGCCCTGCCCCATCATTACATGCTATCCATGTGTACAGTTTATTGTATGTGAGCTATATGTTACTAAAGTTGTGAGGAAATAGCCCATTCTACTTTAGGAATCACTAAAAGATGAAGCAATAATACCATTTATTGTATAGGTCCTCAGAATAGAAATCTAAGAGTAGAAAACCATTGAACAGTTAGAACAAGTACAGAAGCGTCACTGAATTGTTTGCAATTTCAACTTCATGTGTAATCTGTAGTATATGACACTTGGAAAATCAGTTTGAGGAAATGTCATGGAAAAGTTTAAAGATGTGGAATTTAAAGTTTCGCTTATCATGAGACATGTGTGGAGCTATGAGAGGAAGCTGATGTAACTGATTGCTCTCTAGTTTGTCAAGATTTGGCATAAGGAAACCAAAGCGAAGTTGGCACACACTTTGTTCTGTAGTTGTTTGCAGTCTACTAGGGACAATATCAGGATCTAACCAACAAAATCAGAAGCCAGAAAATAGATGATCTCTGATTTGTGAAAAAGACCGTAGAAAGAATTTAGTTCTTAGTCTGGAAGATAGAGCTGAAGCCAAGGTAGGTATTGGAGAGGAGGTGGAATGTGGAAAGAAATACTCTGTGTGATATTGGCTAGTATTTCACTTTACAAATTTATTCTTGAATTAGATTATTACTGCTTTTTATATGAGTAATTAACTTAAAATATGATTTGTGTATTCTGAACCAAGAAACATTTTGATACATTTATTCTTGTTTTAAAGCATTCAAGTCATTTTAAATCCCACGCCTCTTGTTCTTTTAGCTGTATGGGTATAGGTGTGTGTTGTGTGTGTGGTATTTAACAACATCTATGAAAACTGTAACAAGTTTAATTGGTTTATTATTCTGAGTTCTACTTTGTTTATATTTATTATTTGTCTTTTTTTGGGGGGGGGACAGGGTTTCTCTGTGTACCCCTGGCTGTCCTAGAACTTGCTCTGTAGACCAGGTTGACCTCGAACTCAGACAGAGATTGACCTGCCTCTGCCTCCTGAGTGTTGGGAAAATAAAAATCTTAAAATATATTACACTAAAGTATTAGAGGGTATAATTTACATGGTGTGTATGCAAATAATTTTGTTTCATTGATCTTTAAGATCATCTTCCTTCGTCCACATTGTTTTGGCCTTCCTGACTTCTGCTGAGACTCCCTGTTTTCTGTAGAAGTCAGTTTCATAGCCTGTCAGCTCTCTGGGCTGGCTCTACCATTTCATGCTTCTGTTTTTATTCACTCACTTGTGCCCAAAAAGCCTTAAGGGAGGAGGGCAGTGAGAATGAGGGCAAGAGCCTCAAAGAGTAGTTTATTAGTTATGCATGGTAGTTGCATACTCTATTCACAGGAAGAATCTGAAATTGCATTCATTAGAAAACGATGTTATAAAACAAAAATGTTTGTAATCTATAGCAACTTTAACACTGCAAATGTGAAAGTTCATGTCCATGCTGTTAAGTGGTTTAGCTTCTAGCTTTACTTGATTCTCCCTCACTTAATCCATGGCAACTTCATCATTATTGTTTTTCTTTCTGCTAAGTAGAACCGACTTACTCTTTTTTTAAATATTCAAACTTGTGAAACTTTCTGAGGAAATTTTTATTTACAGGAAAGCTATTTAACATGATTCGAATTCAAGCTGTAACATTGCCATCTTAGTCAAAATTACCCTGAATATAGCCTCAGCTTTCCACTGAGGGGCCACAGCTACCAGAAGTGCCCCACTGTGCATCCACTTTGCCAATGCTGAGAGCAAATTGCTGTTCTCTCCCTGTGGTCTTTGAACAATTCTGCAGACTGTTTTATAGACTTTATCCCAAGACTAGTTCTTTTTGTTACCCTGGCACTCATCCTTAGTGGGAGATCCAGATTTTTAAGAGATCATTTCTTGTTATTTCTACAGCAATATCAAAGTACTGATCACTTACCGAGACGTGAGGGACCCAGAAGGCTGAAGTAGAGTTCAACCAGCTGTTTTCCTCAGCTATTAACATTTTAAGAATCACAAGTTGACTACTGGGCAGTGGTGCTGCACACCTTTAATCCCAGCACTCAGGAGGCAGAGGCAGGCAGATCTCTGTAAGTTCGAGGCCAGCCTGATCTACACAGAGAAACTGTCTCAATCCCCTCCCACCTCAAAAGGGAATACATAAGGAATCACATGTTACATATATATATATATATATATATATATGTGTATATATATACATACATATATGTATATATGTATATATATATAAAGATGGAATGAGAGGGTAGCTTTGCTAAACAGATGACAAGCCATTCAGGTATTAATAAGCACACAGGTATTTAATAATCTCTATAATGGAAAGAGATTTTACAGTTCATTAAAAAGTTAAGTTTACACCACCAGAGAAACTAGGATACAAGGAGGAACCTAAGAGATTCATACAAGGTCCCTCATAGAAGGGGAAAGGAATAAGATCACCTGAACATATTGGGAGGTGG